CGTCGACTCGATTACTTACATATTTGCTGAGGTGTATATTTTACCTGAGTTCAATACACTTCAGCTTTTGCCTACAATGCAATCTACCTTCACAGGTCAAATAAAATTAGATGATGAACCGGTTATACAAAATGCAAGGTTCGGGTGGATTGTTTCAAGTCCGGTTCAAACAAGCGCTGTGCCTTCTTTCCAGTGCAATGATGTCTTTAAATTTAACATTAGCAAAAATACAACTATGGCACGGGTTACCAAACGATCTATTCTATCTGAGATAGCTCAAATCTTCGATCCGTTAGGGTTATTGAGTCCTGTTATCATAAGGGCCAAAATTATCCTTCAACACATTTGGTAGGAGGGATTGGATTGGGATGTTTCACTTTCAAATCAAATTTACACACGTTGGTGTGAATTTCGTGACATGTTAGTTCTATTAAATTCCATTAAAATTCCACGTCATATTTCGTTAAAAAATGCAAATGAATTTGAACTACATGGATTTTCAGATGCATCAATTAAAGCATACGGAGCTTGTGTTTACTTACGAGCTACTAATTCTTATAATAATTGTTCGGTTCAATTAGTATGCGCAAAATCCAGAGTGGCTCCAATAAAACCTACTACGGTTCCGCGATTAGTACTGCTTGGTGCTTTGTTACTTACCGATCTTGTTAATAAAGTTAGAACAGCTTTAAATCTAGAAATTAAAAGAGTAGTGTACTGGACGGACTCTAGTGTTCTGATAGGATGGCTAGGAACTGATCCTAGTAAATTACATACATTCGTTGGAAATCGCATTGCGCGAATTCTTGATTTATCGAGAGCGTCTGATTGGCGCTACGTTTCAACCGAGCACAACCCCGCAGACCCCGTTTCACGCGGCATAGACTCGGGAGCCCTCGCGGATTTAACAATATATTGGTGTGGTCCTGTATGGTTAAAGCAAGATGAGTCGTTATGGCCACGTAGAACGTTTCGTTCTGAAAGTTTACCGGAAATAAAGGTTAACGTTCTAAAAGCTACTATAATTGAAGAATGCGTTATTCCGTTCACGCGCTTTTCGACCCTATTTCGGCTACAACGTGTAATAGCATATTGTCTAGGGTTCATTAATAATTGTTCAAATAAATCTGATAAACGAATGGGTTCTTTAAAATGTTCGGAATTGAATGAAGCGCAAATTTATCTAATCAAATGTAGTCAACGAAACTCATTTCAGGATGAAATCAATCATTTAAGTGGCAAGGGCAGTTTGCCGCAGAAAAACGAACTAACTAAATTAAACGTATTTCTTGATCACACTGGTATTATGCGCGTAGGCGGTCGATTACGCAATTCGTCTTATAACGTTGATAAAAAGCACCCGATGCTACTTCATAGTAAACACGTGTTAACGCGGTTGATCTTCGAACACGAACACGTACAACTTCTTCATGCAGGTCCGCAACATTTACTAGCTTCAATACGGGATCGGTATTGGCCGATTGGGGGGAGAAATCTTGCCAAAAAGGTAATCTTTAATTGCATGCGTTGTTTTCGAGTAAAACCGCGGGTGTCGCAGCCTATTATGGGCGATTTACCATCGCAACGTGTTACTCCAGCACCTCCGTTCAGTACCACCGGCGTCGATTACGCTGGCCCGTTTCTTTTGAAAGATCGGAAAGGTCGCGGTTCTAAAACTTCAAAATGCTATATTTGTCTATTTGTATGCTTTATAACACGTGCTATACACCTTGAATTGGTGTCGGATTTGACTTCTGAATGTTTTATTGCAGCACTGCGGCGTTTTGTTGGTCGCCGTGGAAAGCCGTCTCAGATTTTTTCGGATAACGGTACCAATTTCGTCGGCGCGAATCGCGAGCTTCACGAGTTAGGAACGTTCCTACAAGGTTCCAATCAATTAACCGATGTGATTGAGAATGAGTCGATTAATTGGTCATTCATTCCCCCTAATTCGCCTCATTTCGACGGTTTATGGGAGGCAGGTGTTAAAGCAACCAAATATCATTTAAAGCGGGTCGTTGGCAATGCAATACTTACCTTTGAACAATTTTATACGCTGTTGATTCAAATTGAAGCTATCCTAAATTCTCGCCCTTTGTCACCCTTGTCCACGGATCCCAATGATCTAACACTCTTAACTCCTGCGCATTTCTTAATTGGGAGAACGCTTTCGGCCCCACCAGATCCAAGCCTGGATCACGTCAAGTTAAGTCGGCTGTCCCACTATCACTATACGCAACGAATTCAGCAAGACTTTTGGAAGCGTTGGTCAAAGGAATACATTTCGAAACTCCAACGCCGTTCCAAGTGGTCAACTAAAACAGAGAATCTTAAAATTGATGAATTGGTTGTAGTAAAGGATGACAACTTACCAACATTGAAGTGGTTATATGGTCGCATTATCGCTTTACACCCTGGATCCGATGGTTTCGCAAGAACAACCAATAAACTTTGCCCGCTTCCAATGACAAATTAGTACTAATTTTGATATTATTTACTTTTTTTGTTATTGTTACCTTAGGTGATTGTCTATTAGATATAGACAATCAAATAATTTGTTAAAATATGTTTTCTTTAGAGCTCCCCCCTCCCATATGCTCACTAATTTTTCTTTTGAAAGGCAGTCCTTTCAAGGCGGGGGACATGTTGTAATTTGTATCTTTTTATATACATTTTTGCTTTTTTTATTTGTATTTAAATTAGTTTTTCTATTTGTCAAGAATCATAGTAATAAGAGGTTTTTGTTTTGTTTTCGTTGTTGTTGACAACAAGCGCGTCACTATCAATAAGATTTTTGTAAGTGCGTCGGCGGCGTCGTTTGAGTCGTGTCGTACCTTTAACAATATATAATTCGTTACAACAAAAAGCAGCAAATTGTTATTCGTTACGAAGAAGTGATAACCAGCGCTATAACATACGTTATATTATTCAACACTTACCATGGTAAAAGAGTATCGAAGGGGACTAATGGACAAAGTGTTATTAGTTTGTGAGTTTTGCAACACCAAGTTTGTTTGTAGTACACAAAATCCCCAATCGATGTCATTGAATATGGCTGCTGTATGGGGTACCGTTGTCAATGGGAGCCTATACACAGACAAATGATTTATTGTCAACACTAGATGTTCCCATAATGAGTTTTCCGAGATTTTCTAAAATCGAGCGGCAGTTGTGTTTAGAATTCATTCGATAAAATTTCATTTTGTTATGTTTATTTCTCATATTTTATTTAATTCAATTTTTCGTATAGATTGTACATTTTCGTGCCGAAATTTTTGTATGCGTTCGCTCCGCCCGCAAGTAGAAAAAAAACCAGTACTCGTTTTCTTCGATTTGCTGTTACGACACAGAGAATAAAGATGAGTTTCACAATGAACTTTAGTGCGTTTCTGTTCAACAATTTCTTTCACAAGTTTAGTTTTCATTAAAGTTCTAAGTGTACATTCTGGACAAAAAAGCAAGTACAGTTTTCTATTGACATTTTCGAGATCGTATGATTAGTAGATCAATTCATTTTCAAAAACGATCGTGAATAGATTAATCGAAAACAATTTGGTCCTTCGAGCCGGATCGACGTTTGAATTCTTCCGGTAGGATGTAGTTCGCGACGGTTTGTTCGAATTATTTCGTAAAAACTGACGATTAGTAACTTTTCTTTCGCCATCGGATTTCTTTTAAATAGACATTTTCGGTGTTTGAAAGATGGCTCCGCTCGGTGACGGGACGGACTTGAACCCGTTTTTCGAACGGCAAAATGAAGTATTTGGGCTTATTAAACGAACTATTGACAATTTAAAAAAGATGGGTCGAGCTAATTGGACCCGTGGAACTGTTCAAAGTCGTCTTGAACGGCTTGAATCAAATTGGAATGACTTTAACGATATCCATAAAAAACTCGTTCCATATAAAATCGAATATATAGATACCGTTTATTTCAAAGAAGATACTTTTACTTTGTGCGAGGACGCTTATTTAGACGCGAAAAGTTTCATGCTTGATTTATTAAATCTAATGCCCGTGCAGGGTTCCGAAGGTTCGGTCGGCCGGCCTGTCAATCAGCAGGGTTCCGGGGGTTCGGTCGGTCAACCTGTCAATCAAACAGTAGCAACAGAAGCTCCTTTTATCGCTAATACTCCAGTGGTGCAAACGGTGCGCGTTTCGCCGGGTTCGAGACATCTTCCCCAGATTCCCCAAAATCGTCGCTTGTTGATCGACGCGCAATTATCAATTTTGTTTTCCGCCAAGCACAATAAATGCGCAAATTTCAACATCAAGCCATTTACTTCATTCGTACCACATTCACACGCCGGTGCTACTAGCTACGGCTTTGATCTTCGTATCAAATTCTCGGGGAGATTCTGTAATTGTTCGCGCATTAATTGACCAGGGATCAGAAGTTTCTTTTATTAGCGAGTCTTTGGTGCAGCGACTTCGTCTTCAACGACGATCAGGAAGTGTACCCATCTCCGGCATCGGTTCGCAGAAACTGAGTATCTCCACTGGTATAACGACGGTTCGGTTATGTTCGCGTACAAATCCGTTTGTATCGTTTAATGAGGAAACTCTAATTCTACCCAAACTTACAGCATATTTATTTACCCCAAAAACTCTCAGCTCACCTTCCGTTTGAGCTAACCGATCTTCCACTAGCGGACCCTGAGATTACGTTTCCTGGAAGAATAGAATTAATTCTTGGTGTTAGTTTATTTTCTAAAATTTTACAATCCGGGGTTAAACGAAGTCGCGACGGCGGTTTGATTGCGCAGCAAACTTCTTTCGGGTGGATTCTTTCCGGAGTTTTGTCGGACCAACCGTTAACAGATTCAAATCCGCACGAATTTCAATGTTCCGTTGATCAAGAGTTTATTGATTTGATTCAACGTTTCTGGAAGCAGGAAGATGATTCTGCTACTGTCCCGCGCCTTTCGACTGATGAACGCGAATGCGAAGAACATTTCGTTCGAACACATACTCGGGAAGATAACGGGCGTTTTGTGGTGCGGTTACCATTCAAAAGGTCGCCAAGCGAGTTGGGGGTTTCATATCCGGTTGCCATTCAAAACTTTAAGCGGTTGGAATTGAGATTCGCGCGAAACGAGAAATTTAAAATCGAATATGAGCGATTCATAAATGAATACATCGAGCTAGGACATATGCGCTCCGTGCCATTAAATTTAAACATTCGTAATTTTTATTTACCGCATCACGGTGTCATCCGCGAATCTAGTTCGACGACACGGCTACGAGTGGTATTCAACGGTTCTCAGTTAACTTCCTCCGGGCTTTCGCTTAACGATTGTTTATACACCGGACCTAAGCTTCAAACCGAACTCGTTGATGTACTTTTGCGGTGGAGGCGCCATCCAATTGCTATCGCATGCGACCTCGAGAAAATGTATAGACAAATTCGAGTTCATGAAATGGATCAACCATTCCAGCGTATTATATGGAGAAATAATTGTTCACAAGAACTTCAAAATTTTGAATTGACCACTGTCACATATGGTCTTTCATGTGCTCCGTACTTAGCCATCCGTTGTTTACGCCAGCTAGCCTCCGAGCATTCTGAAGCGCAACCGTTCGGTGCCGTAATTCTTCAACACGACACGTATGTAGACGATATTCTTTCCGGCTCGGATGACGTCGACGAGGTACAGGAAGTAATTTTCCAATTGACTCAAGTATTAAAGGCGGGCGGATTCACTGCGCGAAAGTGGATATCAAACGTTCCGGCATCTCTTTCCCTACTGACGCCCGATTTACTAGCCGAATCTCGTACATTAAATATCGAAGATGACAAGTCTCCTCGAGCATTGGGACTTATGTGGAATAATGCATCACTTTCTCTTTTGTTTCAACAAACTTTATGACTCTATTGATAAAGTAAATAAACGCACCGTACTTTCGTTCATCGTGCGATTGTTCGATCCCCTCGGCTGGCTTTCGCCTCTGATTATTACCGCGAAAATATTCATGCAAAATCTTTGGACTCGTAATCTTGAGTGGGATCAACCACTCCCGGAGGATCTCGAACGGCAATGGAAAACGGTTGTTGATGATTTTCGCGGTGTTCCGATGATAAGGGTACCGCGATGGTTGGGTTTAAGTCGGTAGGTAGATTCGATTCAGTTGCACGGTTTTGCTGACGCGTCCACTAGTGCTTATGGAGTTCACAAGTTTTCTATTAACATTTTCGAGATCGTATAATTAGTAGATCAATTCATTTTCAAAAACGATCGTGAATAGATTAATCGAAAACAAGTTGGAAATTACTTGGAAAGACCAAGTATGGTTATCCATGGAGACGGCAGGAAAGGAGGAACGTCGCCTAGCAGAGGATTCGGGTGACATTGACAAAGTATGTTGATGGCGGCTGGAGTAAGCGTTCGTATGGTCATAACTATAATGCTGCATCTGGGGTGGTATGTTTCAACAAGAGGATATAAATAACCAAAATTAGTTTATATTATTTGCAGGCAGTTATTATTGGAAAGCGAACGGGGAAAGTAATATTTGTTGGTGTACGCAACAAATTTTGCACCGTTTGTTGCCGTGCGGAAAATAAAAACGTGGTTGTTCCAAAGCACGTATGTTTTAACCCTGGAACAGCACACTAGGTCTCAGAGACCCGAGCTTATTATCAATTGCGCAAACGCACGCACATTGTACGTTTGTACAGAATACCACCCAAATGTAAATTTAGTTCTTCGAGTGCCAAGGTGGGACGCGCATTAATTTTTAGGTTACAATACTTTCTTAAGCTGTGAAAATTTGGAGAACATATCTATGGGTATGTCAGACCCAAGTGTGAAGTTTACGTATAGTATTTATTCTTTATAGCAAATGTAATTTGCAGTGCAATGGCTTCTTGTAGTTCGGAAAATCGTAGGCCACTAACCCAACGTGAATTGGAAATTGAGGCGCAACGTAGTTGGGATAATGAGAATGAAACCGAACAACTTCAAGATTTTTTTGGAGATGATGAATCCGATGAAGATTTTATGAAAAACAATCTGAGAGTGAAAGTGAGAGTGAGGAAAGTGAGAATGAAGAAATAAGCAGAGAAGAAGATACTTTGCTAGGAAGAAATGGACATCGATGGACGACGAAAATTCCGGAGGCTCGAGGTCGCCCTACGCGAGAAAATATTGTAATGCATTTATCAGGACCCAAAGGAGAGGCCAGAACGGTTCAAACTCCTCTACAAGCTTGGAGTTTGTTGTTCAACGATCATATGATGAATATAACTGTTTTTCATACAAATGAAGAAATTGGATACCAAAATGGCCGTGGATGGATACCACGATTCGTCGTGTCGAAAATTTCGATATAAATCGACAATATATAACGGCTCAAATTATTTTCGACCGATTATAAATGTATTATTTTTTTTTAATTGTAAAGTAGAATAATTTTTAATTTGTGAAAGAATAAAATACTACATAACTGAAGGATTGAACATTAGTTTTAATATTA